ATATATATATATATATATATATATATATATATATGTAATATTGTAGATATCGGTTTTTGGTTTATCCTGTCGTCTCAAAGAAGGCGGTGTGTGAATGTAATGCTGGTGCAGTAGTGTTGATTTCTTTATCGCTAACATCATCAAACGAGTGCCGTGACTCTAGTTGATTGTGCTGCTAGGAAAGTGTAAAACAGAGCTTAGGGCAGACAGGCATAAGCTAAGGGAGAATAAAGCTAGTAGGCCAGCTAGTTAGCTAGCTAGCTAGCTCTGGCGGTAGGCATGCATTCAGCAACAGCAGCACCGGCAGCGCCACCAGCAATAGCAGCAGCAGTAGTAGTAGCAGCTATCAAACAAGCAGGCAACCAAGCTATTTGCCCCGATGAGATGCCCGGGCTCAAAACTTATTGCTGCCAATCGTTATAACCTGCCTGCTCCTTGTCCTTGACTCACTTCGTTTTCTCCTCTTTTGTCGCCAACCGCCACTACTTCATGTTAATTACAACCGATTTTACCTTGCTCAACTTTTTTTCTTTTTCTTTGTTCGCATTACTTTTTATCGATATGACATTTTGTAACAATTTTTTTATTGCACATTTGGGGGGAGGAACGTTCGCTAAGAACGTTATTCAGGTTAAAATCCATAGCGTTTTCATTTTGAATTTGTTGTCTTAGAGATGAAATGAAAGATTACATTGTATTTATATGGAGCAGGAAGTTTTCTATGTTTTTTTTTTGTTGTTCTTGTTGCAGAGGAAACTCCTTTTTTCCGTTTCTGCCTTTTTTCTTTTCTTTTTATTTTATTTTCTTTTATTTTTTGAACGAAAAAACATATTGGTTTCCTAAGTAATGTTTGGAGATGATGTTATGTATTTATTTTCTTCGATTGGTGTTTATTTTCACTTTCAATAATAATCCATCAGTTGCGAAGCGATTGAGAGGGGAGAGTGTAGAACGCGTCTCGGAAGTAAATTTTATTGACAAATTTTTGCGACATGTTTAGAGGCAATGGGGTTCGGGTTGGAGTTGATTTGACTTATCTTAAATTTCATTATGTGTGCGGAATACTTGATGAGCTAATTAAACAAAAGCACGCATTTTTATCAGCTCAAAATGTTGGAACGTGTTGAAACATAGTGTGCTTAAATGCAAATATTGATAAAAAAGCACTTTTGTTAATTCAATCTTTTTACTCTTAAAAAAATTTTTATTTCTTTAGATTAGATTTGGGTGAAATTTTATTTTATTTGTTCTTTTTTGGCTGCAGTTTTGATTCTTCTTTTATTTATTTATTTATTTTATTTTTTGGATATGTACGTATGAGTATAAGTATATGAACAAGTGAGTAATTATGTGAGGATAAATGTAAATATGTGAATATATATTTGGTATTATATTATATTATATATCATAGAATCTTTATGGCTTTTAAAAGTTTAATACATCTAACTTTGTTTTGTTTTGGTTATTATTTATGCTGCAGCAGCCATACGTCGTTCGTCCGAATGGATGCGAAAATTAATAACAAATTGCGAAGCGCTTGCTTTGATGTCAACTATTTCAATTAAATACTTCTAAAGAAGTTTTAGCTTTGTTTTTATTGGAATAAAGGAAAAAGAAAAAATTTTATTATTGTTATTGTTATTGTTATTATTTGGAGGATAGAAAACCGGCTTGTTGCTTAGCGCTTTGAACGTTGGTGTACGACGGGGAGAAAAAAAATGGGTGAATGTTGTTTGAAAACTGTTTCGTTGCTTTGTTATTCGGTTTCGGTGAACGGCAATTGGAAAAGTTTTCCGCACGTTTAAGTTACATTATTGTGTATTGTTCATGTTCCTCGCTTTGTTGTCTGTTATGTTCAGCATCATCTTACAAGATTACAATTTTTGCCAACTGTTTTTGGCACACAACACAGTTTACATTTCACACTTCAGTTAAAATAGTCTCTTAAACTACCATATCTAAGCATGTACTTTCTTCTAGATACATTTATTCTAGATCTTTACTCTGGCAGTCTTTTCCTCACAAAGCTGCAAGCAAAGAAATTCTCCAACTGTGTACTGGTTTTTGGTTTCAATAAGAAAGATAAACAATTTTTTAAAGTTTTGTTAAAATCCTTATTTTTGCCATCTTTTTATTTCAGCCGTATTTTTAACAGTAAAAGCTCGCAAAGTCCGTCACGGCCGCAGTCGGTGTCTTTGGGACCTTCACGAGGTGCAAACAATTCATCGACGAACAGATTAAGCGTTACTGACGTATCTCAGCCGACATCTCCGACTTACACGGACTCTCGTTGCGAAAACTACAGTGGAAAGGTTTGTTAAAATATATTTCCTCCTTTTCTTTGACATCAAGTTTCTTTCTTTTGCCACATTTTGCCTTATCGTTTATAGTATGCAGTAAAGGAGGTTGTTAATAAAAATTTTTTTCTTAATGTTATTGCTTTCAAAAAAAAATTTTTGGGAGGCTTAGAGCGCAAAAGACGCAAGTAGATAACAATAGGGACAGGCTAAATGCCTGTTGGAGACATGTTTGAAAAATAATTATTGGTGTCGAGAGCGAAGAGGCTTTATATATGAAGTGTTTATGTTGTGTACTTTTGCCATTGGGCACATTTTTGCTTTAGAATTCACTTTATTCAAGCTTTATGCTTTACTTACCCATCATTTTCCATTCCTCTTTTTAATATCTTTTTTGCCTAAATAGCAAAATAAGCAAGCTTTTTGGGCGCGTTTTATGCGGAGCGTGTCTTTCTCAGCGATACGTTTTTTTATTCATCCGCATATATACAAAGCATATTCTACACATTATAATCTGCCTCAGCCTCTTTGTCTTTCCTCAGTTCTTTCTTTCACTCTGAATAAATCCCAAATAGCAAATCGATTTCCTCGGTGCAGCAAACACAACAGGCTCGCACACTTATATTTTGCACGCTCGTTATAGAAAACTTTTCTCATAAACTATTCTTCAGAAATCGTTTTCGTCGCGGAACAGTTGTTTTGTGGGATTTTTCATCGTTAGCAATGATCCAAAATCATTTTTACTATGTGCAGGAGACTTATTCTGTCAGATTTTTCGAGAAATTTTTTAAACTTTATTTAAGCAGCTTTCTTTTGTATTTATAAGGGAAAACAAATCTGGTTTAATTCTTCACTGTGGTTGCTTACTAATATCCTTCTACTGTTCAGGAAGCAAGTTATTGCCCCAACAGTGAATCACGTTCAGTGCTTTCTACCTGTGTAGACCAGACAGCTTACGCTGAAACAGCTTTGGGTTATCCTCAGAATTCAGCACAGACTGATCCTGCATTGCTAACTGAAGCAGATTTTGAGCTACCTCCACCAATGAGTGAAGTGAGTAGTGCAGTTGCTGGGGTTGCAGCAAATCAGGACACAGAGGTAAGCTCATTTATCGTTTCATATTTCGTCTTGTATTTTTTTGCTTGTTAAGCCGCTTGTTGTTGAACTTTGGCACCATCGCTTTAGAACTAATTCAAAAAAACTACCTAAAGCTTCAACTGGGTTCTTGCTTGTTTTAATGGTACAGCGGTTAAATAATAATTGTGAAAATTTATTTTTTTCAGTAGTTACACTTATATATTTCATCTTGCGGTTTTTGAGGCTTTATAATCTTTAAAAATTGGCTGATTAGCAAATTTATTGTTTGTTCACCTATCAGAACCAAAAGCTGTTCTGTTAAAAAGTTCCACTTGTATTTTATCAGTCATTCATTTTGATTTGTTTGGGGCGCAAATATCCTAGGGGATGCTACTGTTTCCAAAGGCAGCTGTTATATAGCCTGTTATTTTTATAATGGGAAGAGTTGTGGTGTAATGTCGAATTTTTGGCGTTAGAAGCTCGAAAATTAGTTTTTGCCAGAATTTTTTTTGGGAAATTTTTGTAGAGATTATAAACAAGTAAGGATAGTGAGGATGATTGGCTGCCTGAATGGTGTTTGCTGATTATTTCAAAATGTAACCAACGTTTTGGCTGGTCTGCGAATTGCGAGAATGCAAATTTCTCTGCACGCATAATGGAATTTGTTAATATATTTGAGTGCGTTCATTGAACCGCTGTGATTATGTGCCTGGATGATAATGGTGTGCAATTCATGCTTCTTTTGGTCGACATAGTAGTCGGCCATGCAGAATCTTCAATCTTCGATGACAATTCTTATATACTATTGAGTTATTTTACTATTTTTCGAAAGTACTTCAAATAACTGTTATTATTACTTCATTTAATGCCACGTATTTCTAGACTTGTTAGATATATATTCGTCAAACTTTCTATAGATTTACTCGAAATTTTGTGATAGTTTTTTCTTAGTTTGCCATGAGCAATAATATTTTGCTCTCAAATACAAAATCTATGGGTATTATAAGTGATTCACATAAATTACTGCTTTCCTAAGTTCAAAGATTCAACCGATGTCTGTCTATGAAATAAATTGTTCACTGTTTTTTCCGTTTATCTGAGTTTTTTTATTTAGCTTTCTTTCGTTTTTCTTCCTCTTTGCTACAAGTTTTTTCGACATATATCCAGGACTGTTGTGCAGTTGCAGATGAAAGACCCGGAACATGATGATCCAGATACTCTAGGGGGCGAAGGGTCGAATGAAAATGAAAATGATAGTGCTGAAGAAAAAAGGGAACAGGCGCGAAAAAAGCGGCAGTGAGTTGTTACAGTTGTTGCCGAAAATGCTTTGATGATGATTTGGGAATGCATTGTGGAGCTTCATTCATAAAAAAAACTTCTGTGATGCTTTTTCTCTTTCCAAATATCTTGGTTACTTTATATATTTCTAGCGAAGGCTCCTTTTGTTTTTACAGATACGTATTAATGGAGCTTGTTGAAACCGAAAGGGATTACGTCCGTGACCTTAGTTCTGTTGTTGACGGTTATATGGCAAATCTGGAATCAATGGATCTTCCAGAAGATTTAGTGGGAAAGGATAAGATAATATTTGCAAACATTGCTCAAATCTTAGAGTTCCATAAAACGTGAGTTTAGTATTTTTTTCTGTTGTGAATAGATCTATGTATTATTTTTTTACTGTGAACGCTAAAAAACCTTTCAGGACATTCTTGAGCGAGATTGAAAAGTGCCTTAACAATTATGAAGCTGCGGGTGAAGCTTTTGTTAAATATGTGAGTTATTTTGAGACTGCATGTATCCTTTGCGCAA